AAAGAAGAAAGTGGGACCATTCAAGGTAATTCTAGACCCCCTGCCTCAGAAAGGAGGCATCCTTATCTAGACACGGTGAAGTACTATGGCTAACATCCCATCTGACTTGAAACTATGGTTCTACCTTCTAAAACTTCCGAGTTTTCTCTCCTTAAGTCAGTTGGAGATTCTATGGTAGATCTTGGTCCAGAAATAGCTTGAGGATGAGGCTGACCAGAACTTTTTGAATTTCCCAACCCAGGGAAATACCCAGCTTGCAACTTCTTCTAGATGTATTGAATTCTTCCAAATTTCCTTCCACATTCTTTTCTATTAAGCCTAATTTTTATTTCATCCAAGGCCAAGCTAAATCACAACTCTAACTGAATTTTCCTCACTATTCTGTTCCTCTCGGAAACCAGCCTATATTTGTGAAAAAAAAAAAAGATTTTGTCTCCTCCTTCTCCTTAAAATATTGCTTTAGAAAATGGGTCCTCTTTGTTGCTAAGGAAAAGCTATACCAGTCTCAGTAGGATACTGTCACCTTAATGCTTAGAATTACTGAAAACAATTTGTTTTACTATTTTAATTGAAATAAATATAATTTTCTAAACCTTAAGATGGTCTCTGGTGTTGACAAATAGGTACCTCATTTCACATGTCCCACATTTTGCCTTAAACTTCTACAGCTCTCACTTCCTCACAGTCTTCTCTTACTCCAAATTTCAAAAATCTCATTTCAATATGCACTTTGTTCTGTGGGACAGATACTAATTTTTAGCATCAGTTGATAAATTGCTTGTCTCTACATTCAATTTGAAATGATTTTTTTTTCTGACCAAAGCCTTATTTTTGTATCCAAAAGTTTTTGAACGATTTTGCAGTGTAAATACATTGAGGCAGAAACTTGAAATTCAGGGACTTCAGTTTAGAATTTTGGTATATTCATTTATATCATTAATGATAATAGTAGTGCTTTTTTGTGAGCCAGATACAGTATATAAATTATTGTTGATCCTCAAAATAATCTAATTGCATAGATATAAATACTACTCTGACCTTACAAATGAGGACATTGAGCCATGCCCTGAGAGAGCGTGTCACACAGAGAGTTGAATAGAACCAAAACACAGCCCAGAGACCAGACTGGACACACGCCTTATAAACAGCTTCCTTTGTGATCACCTGATTCTTCTTAAATTCTATGTGATTATAACACTCAAAAGCAATACACTCAACATTATTGTGTTTCAGGGTTTTGGGGTTTTTTTTGAAATTTTATTTTTCCTTGAGTATAACTGTTATTTCTTGAGGTTCTTTTTGGCAACCCATTTTTAGCTAGTTTTAATCTCTCATATAAATAAAATTTCTATTTTTAAAACCATACTGAGACTTTACAAATATTGAACTTGCTTAAAAATTTTTTTGAATCTTCAAAAATCTAAAAGGTACCCTCACTGCTAAATAATTATAGTTCAGCCATCATTCATTTACGTAATTGGGTATTTTCATAAGAGTTGACAACTAGGAAGTCCTAGGAGTATGCTAAACCTTTCTTCTTTGTCTCTCTTTAGTTCATTCACTGTTTTTCTTCTTCTTTTCTACAATTATGACTTGATTTGAAATTGCAACACTTTAAAGAAAAATGATAAGCAGTAAAAATATAGTTCAATTCTAAGAGCTTTCTCCTTCCCTCTTTAAATCTATAACATTAATAGGAAATTACCATAAAATTTGATATTCAAAACATAGATATTTTCTACATATCCTGTATTCAGTAATTCTTTGTCTGAAAGGTAAGTATCATATTTTATTTTTTGAAGTTATGGCATTTTTCTGGGGACACTCATTTGAAATTATATTTTCCTTAATCTGTGAGGTCATCAAATAATGGGAGATTTTTGAAAGTCATCACTACATAAATTGTAGGTTAGATTTGTCAGAGCTAAAGCACTAAAATGCCACAGAAAAAGGTAATTTTTAATTGCGATACTGGAATTATTCTGAGTTATGTGGTTCATACATATGCATGTTACACTATAATCAAAGGACAGCTGGTGTCTAGAAAGTGAAGAATGAACTAAAGGTTAAGATCAGGTTCTATATTCTCAATACTACATATTGGTTTAGCCCTCTTCCTTCCACTTTCCTAACCTTGATCATTGATTTCAAAGATGTTCTATTCATGCCTTAAGACCACCTTTTCCCAACGACACCCTTTCCATTAATATTAAAATAATAAATCTTAAACATGCATTGTTTCTAGACGAGTGTCTTCAGAGAGTGTAATCCAAATTACACTCGTCGTCATGCATTTCTCTGAGGCCTTTAAAATAGACAGGGATGTTGGAAGCTATTTTTAGTTTATACCATTTTCCTCAAACAGGCCTTCTTACAATTAATATTTGATTGTGGTGGGAAGTATCGCACTGTGCCCAGGGCCAGTTAGCATCACCCGAAGCCCAGACCCAGTAGATTTTCTGTACACCAGAGGCTTTCCTGTAAGACTTGACCTCACTCTGTTCATCCTCACTAGAGAATGCATCCCGGAAAGATCCTATACATCCAGGTACTAGATTCTCCTTGGAGTGTACAAACAGACTGGCAAGTGTTCCAAGCTAGTTACATACATTTTTCTGAGCGAATTTGCTGATTTTTGGACACAGGTAAGCAGCTTGATTTCCGGGAAGACATTCACTCCGAGGATCTCACCTAGAGATAACACCAATTCTTTCTCCACTGATTGAAAAGTCCTGAATTTTTTTCAGTGCTTCATTCAGTAGAGTTAGTTACTTCAAAGGGTTATTAAAATCAAAATATTTTGACTCTTTTTGTCAGTTAAGTTCCAAACTTTGGGGAGGACTTGTGAGATAATTTACCACGTGACAGATTACTGACAGATCTCTGGAATGATAATGACGATGATTGTGATAATAATTTTTTGATGATATTCGTTTTTTAAAGAGTATATGAAGATACTGGAATCACTACTCCATCAACATTTACTGGAATAGATGCTAATGGAAAAGTGATGCAGTTTATTTTGATCTCTGTATTCAATCATTAGCCACCAACTCTGAGGGCAACAGAGTTATCTAATGACTCAGAGGTAGAATTCCAGTATCTAGCACAACATCCAGCTCAATAAAAGTAGAAACTCAAAAATATTGGAGATATAAATGATGACGATATTGCTTGGGAAGAAATTACTTGTTCCAGTTATGGAGCTGTGTTAATATAAAAATTGAGCCCAGTAACTTCTGTAGAAGAAAAGAGGACATGAGTGGTGGGAAACAGGCACTGTTTATCCTTTCTTATTTTATATCACTTCACTTCCAAAATAAATGCAGCTCCATCTTCTTTCCCCACCATGCTTTTGTGTTCTCTTTGTATGCCTTGGGTCTACTTAGTTTTACTGTTCTCAAGCTTTGATTGACTTCATATCAAACTAGAGAAATAGATTTCATTTGGTCATATGCTGTCTTCAACTATTTACAAATACAATGTAATGCACATATCAATTAATGAATTCACTCTCTGGATTAAGACCGTCCATGTTTACTGTATGGGATAGGCTTCTGGTGGAACTCTCCTGAGTCTATTGATTGTCTTATCAGTTTTACAGGTTCTTGAGGGTTGACCAGACCAAATGGGCTTAGTAGGTCCTACCTTCTCACTAGTAGTTACAGTTGAAATTGAAGTAAAAAAGAAACTGCCTAACATTAATATCTAACGATGAAAAGGGTAAATTGGACATGGAGATTATAATATTAGAACCTAAGGAATGTCAGATTTGCAACTATTAAAGTCCTGTTTTGTTAAGTATAATTATGAATAATAATGTTCATATTTAATTAAAACAAATGTGAAGCAGAGGTAGTTGCATTGCAAAGAATGTGACAACACTCACTTTCAAACATGGCAAAATGCATTGAAAACTGGTGAAGTTTCCTGACACTGAAGTAAGATGGTGCTGTACATCACAGTGGTGATGCGGGCTAGTTACATATGTGTCATTAATACAATGTTTTTTTAAGTTTTATTTTTTTGCTTTTTCTTTTACTCATTAAAGGAAATGCTTACAAACTGGTCAGAATGCCTTCTGAAGGGAGAAAACATCCTCAGGTATGTCATTTCCTGTTTACAGGACAATTCATTGGAAATCTACTGTCGGCTCTTTTTGCTCGGTACCCTAAGAAATGGATGCAGTTCAAATCTGTGTGAGCAAGATACCCGCTGAATGGCATCCACGGAGACACTGCAATGGCAATACTTTCAATTGTTTCCTCTTTTCCTCTTCTATTCACACTTTAACACCACTCTAGTGGCGTTTAGTGCAGCGTTTAAAATAGAGAGACACAGTTAAAAACTGACTTCAGAAAAGTTGTTCTCCCTTACGGTTTTTTTTTTTTCCCCTACGACTGGTTTGTTTGAGCGCTTAACACATGGTGGACGGCAGTTCTCTATCAGCATTTTTACTAGAGTCCATTGACTTTTGAGAAACTGTGGGAATTAAAACAGAACAGGGGCATTTTACAATCCATAAGAATGCATTTACTGTATCATTTTATAGGCAACTTTTATAGCATGAGGACGCGGTTTCCCTTGCTAGTCATCCGTGTGTTTCTTCATTTTTCAGACTGTACTCCATCTGCAGTTCTTACCAGGACGAAAACATCCCTTTAAATCAGTAAGAAACAAAGCTCTAATAAAGAATGCTGAATCAGGCCCATTACCACCATACTAATTATGCAGTGAACACACAGCACTGTTTACAGTGGACCTCTCTGAGACCTAACCATGATATTAAACTCAGAGTCTATTCTAGGAGTAGGCAAGTCTCCATAAAATTTTTATTTATCTTGAAAGGCAAATGCTTATTCATTGCATAACATTGAAAGACACGGCTCCTCCTCCCTAGCCCTCCCTGAACATCGTTAGATAGTTAGATGACCAATAATTCTTAACTGTGTCATTAAAGTCAGCGAAAGGATTGGTTCCGCAGAGACAGAAGCACCCCAGTACTGTATGTAGGCTGGACGGAGGATGGAGTGTGGAGAGGTGTGAGCCGGGGAGAAGAGCCTGAGATGTTTTATTACTGGAATGATCTGAATGTGAAGAGAAAATCTGGGTCTCTCCAGATATTCCTAATTCTCAGTACCTGCCATGCATCAGATACCCTGAAGTAGCTATCCGTATGCCTGCTTCTTTCAGTTTTGCGTTTGTGTCCGTCTGTGTGCGTGTTGGCCTGAAAGTAGTTTTCCTGGCAGCGGCGTGCGCTTGGTGTACGTGTGCACATGTAAGAGTGGGAATTAATTACATATTGAAAACATCTGCATCAGCGGCGCCTGCAGTCCCTGGGCTCCAGGCGGGATGCTCAGCCCCGTCACTTGGTGTTAGGACCACTCGGAAGACCTGCCGGTCGGACGCCGGATTCTGGTTCCCGGTGGGCCGGAGCGCCCGGAGCCTGTACCATCTCTGTCTGAAGGGGAGGAGAGAAGGGAGAGAGAAGGCATCCGAGCCACGGGCTTCTGTTTCCTGCCGCTGGGTGGGGGGCAGCCGGGGCTGGAGCAGGGCTGCACGATCACACCGCGAATTCCCAACTTCAGCACCGCCTCCCGCCCGGGGCGAGGCGCGCGCCCCGTCCCTCGGCCCCCGCCCCGGCTGATGGACCCGGGC